CCCCCTGATGCTTGTATTTTAAGATTCACTGACTACATTTATATTTCTATATTCAGTCATGATTGTAAAGTCTGCTTTAATCTCTCTGATGTTCAGTTTTTAGTAATGATTGTTTAGTTTCTCCCATGGAGCTAGGTCTGCATCTCCATCACTACTCAGGTTTTTCCTTTCTTTACTTCCCACCACATGTGATGGCATGGAACTGGACCTAACCTTGAACTTTGGAGGCTATTGCTTAGTGGATTGGGTGGAGGAATGAGGAGTTTTCCTTACAGGATACAGTAGCACACAGAAGGCCACCTGCTCAGGAAACCTAGCAATGGATGTCCAATTCCTTCCTCATGGCCAAGTCCTTCTACTGACAAACATTGTTCATTTTATTGTGACTACAACATATCCTGTCACATCTGATCCCTCACACAGATTCTGAGAGAACTTCCATTAGAATAAGCAGTACCCGGTGATCTTGCATTTCCATGCTGGCCCTGTAAAGTTCATAGCATTGCCTGGAATTAGTGCCTGAGAGCCACGGCTGCATAAGGCCAGCTGGCAGAGCGTGGCCTCTGCTCTAGTTCCAAGCATGCTGCCTTGCCAGCCAGCACTGCCGTGGCTGATTCTCGCTGACTTCCAGACCTTGTACTTTGCCAGAGGAGGTGTCCTCTCTGTTGCCCATCACCTGTCCAGATGGCCTCTTCTCATTGACACACTGCTCCCAAGATGTCTTATTCTTGCTGTGCTTCTTCCCCTACCTTGTGCAAAATACACTCCTTTGAGGCTGCACTAACCACAGTCATCAGTGACCTGCTAATTGCAGCTCCCATTGGGTGCCTTTCACTTCCTGACATGCTGATACAGTGATCACTGCTGCCTCTTCTTGTGAATTTTGAAACTCCAAATCCCATTATTCTTTTTTCTCTCCATGGGTTTGTTTCCTTCTACTTGCCTTTCAAATGTTTTTTATGTTATGTAGCTTAACCAACTGCTTCTCTGACTTAGCCATTTTTCCCAAGTGTCTACTCTAGTATCAAGATTCACCTCCAACATGCTGATAATTCGAATCCACATTCCAGTCCAGAATGCTGAGCATCAAACCTGTGTTAAACTATCTCACGAATATCTCCATCTGGACAGATGGAAGGGACCAGGGTCAAAACCAGGGTTGCCCTTCAGGCCATAATACTTGGTGTTCTCCCTGTGCCTGAAATACTCCTCTCACAGGTCCTGTGTGGCTCACTCTCACCTCATTTAGCTTCTCAGTCAGCACCTTCTCAAAAAATCCCTTTATGAGGGATCTTCAAAAAGTTCAGGAACAAAATGAAATTAAAAAAATGTTTATTTTGATGCATAAATATTTTCAAATCCAGGCTTTTCATAAATTTTTGGAGACCCCTCCTGTATGCCTTTTTTCTCCTGCTTCTATTTTACTTCAGATCATATATTTCTAATTTAAAATTTTGTTTACTTCTTTATTGTTTGTCTCCCTCAACTAGACTGTTATATTTATTTGCCTTGTTCACTATCATATTTGTAGCACCTGGACCAGTTTCTGCTGGCCAAATATTAAGTGAATAAGTAAATCATCTCCATCCCTTATTGATTTCTGTATTTTTTAATCTCAGTGGATAGTACTGCCCCTACCTACTCACATCACAAATTTTGAGTAATTCCAGAAACTTCCGTTATCACCATACCACTTACTGTCCACATCCAGAAAAAAAATAATAATTCCTGCCAGCTTTACCTCATAATGATTTCCCAAATCTGTCTCCCATCTTAATTCCTATGACCATCACCCTATTTTAGGCCATCAGACGTTTCTCCTGTTATACTGCAGCCCCTAATGTGCTTCCTGCTTCTGTTTTTAATCACCTAAATCCAGCCTTCACAGAAGCCAGGCCAGTCCTTCTTAAAAGCAGATCTGACTCTGCTGCTTTCCCTTGTGAAACTCAGTAGTTCCATTCCTCTGTCAGATCCTTTGCATGATGTTGTACAATAATCCATCCCTTGCTTTAGGCTAACAGTGCTGCGTGATCTCTTGTCCATACTTAGGTTGTCTTTCCGGGCTGGAATAATTCTTATTCTTCCCTCAGTACCTTCTGGTAAATTCTTCATTACTATTAATCTCAGCCTTAGGATCACCTGGATTCTCTGTGCTATTCTGCACTTAAAACACTGTACCTACACTTAAAACACCGAAGTATCTACCTCCTTCATTAGATTGAGGACTCATTGAGTGAATGAGCTATGTATTATTCATCATTCTGTTCCCTTCATCTAACCCAGTGGAAAGAAAACTGAATAACTTGTCAATATGGGTATTTCTGGCTAAATTCTGGTCATCATTGTCAAGTTATGGTGTGGAATTGCATTTTCAAAACAAGAAAGATATTAGTATAATCTTTAAAATGTGAATTTGTCATGTGGTCTGTGCCACAGAGTTGTCAGAAAGTACCCATGTCTGGGCTGGCGCCGTGGCTCAATAGGCTAATCCTTCACGTTGAGGCGCCGGCACACCTGGTTCTAGTCCCGGTCGGGGCGCCGGATTCTGTCCCGGTTGCCCCTCTTCCAGGCTAGCTCTCTGCTGTGGCCAGGGAGTGCAGTGGAGGATGGCCCAAGTGCTTGGGCCCTGCACCCCATGGGAGACCAGGATAAGTACCTGGATCCTGCCATTGGATCAGCACGGTGCACCGTCCGCAGCACGCAGGCCGCGGTGGCCATTGGAGGGTGAACCAATGGCAAAAGGAAGACCTTTCTCTCTGTCTCTCTCTCTCACTGTCCACTCTGCCTGTCAAAAAAAAAAAAAAAAAAGTACCCATATCTTACCTCACTTGTTGTCCTATGAAAACCAAAAGTCAGCCTAGCTATAACTAAAAAGAAAAATAAAGGAAATAAAAGGAGCAGAGGAAAATTACACCCATCGATTTTTTGTATCTTAAGGGTTTTCTCAAGAACAAAGGGGCAGTTTTGCAGTAGTAAAGTAATTGTGTTCTTATAATATGAATTATGTTAGGCACATGGGCAGTATGGCTCTGTGGATAATCTTAAGGATTAGTGTATGCTTAGTTGAAATTTAATACTCCTTCCTCCAGAGTACATGCTGATTTTGAGTTTTCAATGTGAAAACAAATGCTTCTGTTGCTGAACTTTATCATCAACTTGTTGGAAATCATGCCCAGAATATTTTCAGTTGAATGATTGAATCATTGTGGCATGTAAAGATTCAGTAAGAAAGGCACTGTGCCAATGATGCTGTAGGCTTGTAAGAAGCTGAGATTGCTGCGCATCACTTAAATGACAGAGAAATCCAGCCCCAGAGCCAAGTAAATGTTTGAATCTGTAGAGTAGTTTTAAAACTTTTACTGAGCCTGGAGCTTCTGAAATACTGTCTTGGGGCCACATGGAAGTGGACTTGAGTGAAACTGAAGCTGTACCTCATTCCCACTGCAAGCAGAGCAACAACCAGTATTTGGTATATAGAAGATGGTTCTTTATCATATTTACTTGATATTATATTTGACTTGTTCTGACTAGATGTAGCTGGGTTTGTATTCTGTAATACGGGAATATTTTTAAGTGAATAAAATTAGGTATAAAATAGAAAATAGGTATAAAATATAAAATTAGGTATAACATATAAAATCGGTACAAAGTAGAATTCCAGATTTCCAAGAGGAATGGAAAATATAAAGAGGCTTTAATATTCTCACATTTTAATCTTTCTATTGAAGAAACATCTCCGAATTAGATTAGATCTAGATTAAAAACATCTGCGAAACAAGAGGCCAGGCAGCCATACATCTGGGAACTTGAAGGAGGCAAATTCTATGAAGATATTTTCAGGAATACCAAATGTTTTGGAAACATTCAAGGGATAATCAGAAACTTGTTATTTTAATTCATGTTAAAACCCAAAGGGAAGTTGTCTTCCTGCCTGGGGAGAAGGAGTGATGATAGCAGATGCCTGGAGACAGCCAATAGAGGCAGGAGTAATGCCAGCAGATAGAGATGGGCAGGTGGCCCAGTCCTCACAGTAGAGGATACAGGGAATCTAGAAATTCAAGGGTTGTGAGCTTGGTGTCCATTTTTGGCAAAGTCCTAAGCCAATTTAGCAGATGGTTTGTGAGCCCTTAGAAAAGGTGCTCCAGAATTAGCTTATTAGAACCAAGTCATAGTAAACTTCCTGTGCTACCTTTACTGACAAAGTCACTCTTGAGTTCAGCAAGATTTTTCATTAGGCTGTTTATGATAACCAACACATGTCCTTTTTTCACTAGGAACAAAAAAAAAAATTGAGTTGGGAAAGAGTGGGTGGAGTAAGGCCCATGCCAGCTGAAAAGAAAAGCCAGAGAGACAGGAAGCTTCCTCTCCATACAGTCAGCTTGATGGAGCCAGTTAGTGTGGGGAGCAGCCCGGACTGGACTGAGTTACTGGAATTAAGACTTATTCTATGCATCTGCTCTCCCACAATATGGCGCTGGGAGAGAAGTAAACAGCTTCCGCACAGCTGCCTCCAGTTCAACCAATAAACAGTAGGACTTGCTCCTGATTGGAGGAGAGCAGCGTACTCGGCGTGTGGGCAGCCGAGTTAGGATTGGCGGAGGAGGACTATAAAGGAGGAGAGAGACGGCATGCACCGGGGAACATCTAAGGGGAACATCTGAGGGAACACCTGTGCAGCCCCCCGAGAGAGCCGGCCGGCGGTGTGCCGCTCCCCTGCGGAAGTGGGGAAAGCGGCCAGGGGGAACTGCCCTTCCACAGAGGTGGAAGGGATGGTAGCCAACCTGGGAAGAACCAGCAGCAAACCCGGGGAGGGCCGAGCAGACGAAAGAACAGCGCAGGGTCCTGTGTCGTTCCTCCACGAAGAGGGGGAGCGACAAGTTAGTCTGCTGAGAAAGCAGAGGGTGTATAGATGAGCTGCCTCCTGTATGTTCACAGTGTCCTACAGCCCTGTGTTTCTCAAACTGTGAGCCGTGAGCTACCTCCTGCCTTCAGAGTTACTTAGGCGTGTTTATTAAAAATGTAGGTCCCTGGACCTCACCCAAAATTGGGCTCTGTAGAGGCACAGCCCAGAAATCTATGCTATTTTAAAAGATTTATTCATTTATTTGAATGGCAGAGGTACAGAGAGAGAGGGAGAGACAGAGACAGACAGACACACACACACACACACACACACACACACACAGAGAGAGAGAGAGAGAGAGGTCTTCCATCTGCTGGTTCACTCCTCAAATAGCTGCAACAGCTGGGACTGGACCAGATCAGAGCCAGGAGCCAGGAGCCAGGAACTCCATCCAGGTGTCCCATGTAAGTGGCAGGGGTGCAAGCACTTGGACCATCTTCCGCTGGTTTCCCAGGCATAATAGCAGGGAACTGGATCAGAAGTAGAGCACCTGGGACTCAAACTGATGCTCATGTTGGATGCTGGCATCCCAAGCTGTGCCTTAACCTGCTGTGGTGTAATACCAGTCCCAGGAATCTATACTTTTGACGAGCTTCACAGGCAATTATAAGCACAATTGCAGAATGATTGTTTCAAAGATAAGGGCATTTGCTGTGAAGAAAGTTACCCAGTTAGAGAAGTACAGAAAATCTTTAATTATCCTATATGTATATGCATTTTTTGTGTGTATATGATTGTAACCCAGAAATTGCTGATCTCCTGCATCTAATTGCCCAGGGTTAAGTGTAACCCTGTTGCCATCTGGTGATCGTCACTTATCCTGCAAAAGCAAGGCTGATAAAGTAAATATTTTGAGCACTAAAATGGACATCAGGTAAAGACCATAGATAAAGGGCAATGGGCATATTAGAAGAAAAATAGTTTTGTACAGTTCCTTAGAAAATTCAGTCTCCCTGCTGCCTGGATTAGGGCCAGTGATGTACTGGTACCGCACAACAGCCAGTTCTCTGGAATGAAAAAAAAACACTTGCTTAAGTATACACACTTAACCATACTTTAAATGTTACTCATTTAAAGCATGTATAGCATGCAATTCATAATAAAATAGAGTGTACTTTATTGATTACATTACAACTGATTCTCAATGTGCTCCCTCGATTTTTGTTAGTCTTCTGTATCCATAGCAATCTTTGATTGCAAGTGATTAATGAGTATAGGCCCAACATTCGTTGATAGTTTCATTTATTTAAACATAAATGGAGGGTCCAGTGCAGTGGCATAGTGGGTAAAGCCGCTGCCTGCAGTGCTGGCATCCATATGGGCACCGGTTCAGGTCCAGGTGCTCCACTTTCAAAGCAGCTCTCTGCTATGGCCTGGGAAAGCAGTAGAAGATGGCCTAAGTGCTTGGTCCCTGTGCCTACATGGAAGACCGGAAGCAGTTCCAGGCTCCTGGCTTCAGTTCAGCACAGCTCCAGCCATTACAGCCATCTGGGGTGTGAACCAGCGGATGCAAGTTCTCTTTCTCTCTTTCTGCCTCTGCCTCTCTGTAACTCTGCCTTTCAATTTAAAAAAATCTTTAAAGATAAATAAATAAATAAAAACTCAAAGGAAATAATAATGGCACATATGAGAACCTTGCTTATTTGTCAATAACATGAGCAACTTCTTAGTTGAATCAGATCATAGCTTTTGAATGTGGAAGGAATACATCCTGAATTTTTGGTGCTTCTCACAATGTAATGACACATTTTTCATTCATGCTATGAACACTTCATCCATCACTTTCATAATATGTTCATAAGACATCACTTTTGTAAAATATCAAGAAAATCGTAACTCAATCCCTGATTTGTGGTGCTTGGATTTTCTGTGGTGTGAATGCTCCCAGTGTGGCCACTTTCAACCTACCAACTTGGCCTTACTGAACACAGGGTTGGTAAAAGATGTAAAATAGCATTTTATTATCTAATATTTCCATCACATGTATAAGACAGAGGCAGATAGCCCAAGAGCATAGTAAAATGCAGTATAATGAATTTTATTACCTTATTTCAATATAATTTAATTGTACACTTAACTTTTAAAATAATGTCTGCTTAATAACTAGCTCTGAAAATTTATGGGTTCTTATGAGCTTCTTTGTGCTGGTTCTGTTCCAGTAATGAATAGGGTCAAGTTTTCTGAACTCAATAGATATGTGACACGGTATGGCTCTGCTTTTCTGCCAGAGCACAGGTAAAATACCCAAGCAAATTTTCATATTTACCTTAAAAGTGCAGCTCTTCTAAACCAGAGCATAGCAGTAACATGCCTGACAAATATGTCCCGCCCCGGGCATCAGAGTGGAGAGGAATTCCCAAACGGATGAAGTCAGATCCAATGGAATAGGTTTCCCCTATCATGTCTGGGAAAGTGTGTATGACTCCTACTCTTTGCCGACTCTGTTTTTGCATCAGTAGATATTCTGACACGTAAAGGGTACCTTTCCTATCTCACAGCCTACTGATTTTAGCAAAACTGTTTTTGATTCCTTGTCACTCTCCACAACACTTTGGGATACGGTGATGTTGCATTTTTGCTTTTTACTTTTCCATCTTCTTTCTTCTACATCTGTTTTATACAAGGGCATTCAGTTTATAATCAAAATTTGATGGGACCCTGACTGTGACTACAAGAGTAGATTTCTAGATCCATTTGCTTGAAGCCAAATGTAGAATTTATTGAAGGTTTTTAAGTTTTTAGAGCTGAAAGTTCAGTACTATCTCCCAGATACAAAGAAAGGATTGAAGCTACAACCTTATATAAATTCTTATTAAAAACAGTGCTGTGGAGTGTTCCTTTGCTAGAACTTTTGGATAGTCATAGAGCAAACAGTATGTCTCCAGTGCATAATCATATTCTCTCTTCCTGTTTTCTAGTGGCTGTACTTACAAGCAAATTGTTAAATAATTTTATTCTACTCTCCAAGAACATTTCCTGAGTGTGTTTGAATCTCCCACTGTAGGTACCTGGCCTCTATCAATATTTTCTGTACTGACCCTTGTAATTACAGCACAGGGGCCTACTAAAACAGAACTTTGCTCGCCAAACAAATATGAACACAAAATTGCTTGAAGTTGCTAATTGTTCTTGCCTGCTGTGGACATTGGCTATGACCCAGCAATTTGGCTCTACCTCAACCACGGGAGATCTTCTATAACCCCTCAATACTACTGCAAGAAAAATTGTTACAGAGTCCATTGATTCTTAATTGGGTAAGGAAATGTCTCTCCTAATACTTAATAGTTACACATTTATAAAATGAAAAGCCATATTGTTTTTCATATTATGAAAAATATGAAGTACAACCAAACATCCTTTTGGCTGGAGAGAGACACACAGCCTGTTTCAGAGCATGATGCCATCTTCCATTTTTCCCTTCAAGCTAAGTCCATGGTATGCAAAAGATCTCTCCATGTATGTGCAGCTGATTCCATGGTTCTGAGTCAGGTAAAAATATGGAACCATGACCGAGGGGTTCTATAAAATATCTAGTGGCCAGGTAAGCATGAAAGCGTGAATTTACAGAGGCAATCAGGTAGACAGATGGCAGGCTAGGCGGGTTGGCTCCATGGTGTCCCATGACAGGCTGTGCCTGATTACAGGTCCTCAGGTGTGCAGCTTGTGGGGCACTGCGCAGGCGCCGTCTGGATCCTGCACCACAGGGTAACCCGTAGGCCGCGCTGTGGGAAGCTTCTGGGACAAAGCCTTCAGAGGTACTCCCGTGTGCCTTCTGTCCACTGCTTCCCTTGAGATTGAGCCCCCCCGCTCCCTTAATGATCCTCCTGCGTCATAATTCAGAATGTTTGTGCTTCCCAACTTAAATTTTCTTTATATCATGCTGATGTCCGTATGTTTTATGGACAGTTTTTAATTACATTTATCCAAGTAATGGATGCGTAATGGTAAAAGACAATCATACACTTTTTAAAAAATCTAACTTCTTGCTAACATTTTGAGGTCCCTTCAGAGAAGATTTACTATCATTCCCATTTATTTCTGCTTTCATAAGTTAAGCTAAATGCCTACTTTGAGGAAGATAACTTTTTTACCAGGGTTGTTTATTCTGTTATACTTGTTATTGTAATTATATCCTTTAATTAAATATTGCAAATGCTAGTACTGGTCAAATATGAATTCTGAAAAAGAATTCTTTCTTTTTAAAAAAGATTTATTTATTTGTTTGAAAGGCAGAGTTAGAGAGAGGGAGGGAGGGAGAGATCGATCTATCTATCTATCTATCTATCTATCTATCTATCTATCTTCCATCCACTGGTTCACTCCCCAAACAGCCAGGGCTTGGCCAGCCTGAAGTCAGGAGACAGGAGTTTCTTTTGGGTCTCACTCATGGGTACCAGAACATTTGGGCCATCTTTTGCTGCTTTCCCAGGTGCATTAGTAGAGAACTGGATCAAAAGTGGACCAGCAGGGACTCTAGCCAGCACCCGTATGCAATGCCAGCATCTCAGGTGGCAGCTTAACCTGCTAAGCCACAATGCTAGTCCCCAAAATAATTATTTCTATGAAAACTAAATGAAATACTTCTTAAGACTCAGTATTAATGAAATACTTCTTAAGCAAGTTCCTTTTTTTTAAATGATAATAAGGAGCAGGCCTTTTGCAACAGTGGGTTAAGCCATTGCTAGGGACACCATATCCCACATCAGACTGCTGGATCAAGTCCTGGCTACCCTGCTTCAATCCTGCTTGCCTACTAATGCATCCTGGAAGGCAGCAGATGATGATTTAAATGCAGAAGTCCCTGCCACCCATGTGGGAGACTCAAAGCGAATTCTAGACTCCTGGCTTCAACCTGGCCCAGCCCTGGTTGTTGTAGGCATTTGGGGAGTGAACCATTGAATGGAAGATCTTTCTCTGACTCTCTCTTTCCCCTCTCTCTTTCAAGTAGATGAAAATAAATAAACTGAACAATTCTGATGAGTTAGGAGTGGAGAGGCAACTGTGAAAAATTGAAAACAATAGTAAGTAATATTCTAGAAGTATTCTCTCAAAGTGTTTCACAAATATCTTTTACTTCCTTGTTCTACTTTAAAGGAATGCAAATTGAACACAAAGAAATTGCATTTTAAGTATTTTTCATAAGAAAGATGACACAAAACTATCGTCAGAGGAGGAATATCCAAAGAAAAGAACAATGCCTTCTGTCAAAAGATTGGTGAATTACATTTTAAGATGAAATAATTTTGTATTAAAATAAGGCTTAAAGGGATTGGAATTTTGCTTTAACCAACTTTTTCAGTTAACTGGTACCAATCACATTACAAGGACCTGTTAATGTACAGTGATCAAAAGTAGCCATCAGAAAAATGATTTCACCTTTCAATGCTTAGATTTCCTTAGCGGTTAAATTGTGGTAATCAGAGATTTCATGATCAATGGATTACCTTTTCACAGCATTGGAAGGTGTTAGGCACTCACTTATGGAGCTACTGTTATCATTATTACAGTTTTGTAGAAAAATTAGTAATTACTGAGCTCAGCTATGTGACTGGATCCCCCAGAAAGGAAGTACAGTTCTCTGTGAATCTTTTGCTCCTTAAGTATTCAGTTCCTTGTAGCCAAAGTCTGCAGTTAAATTCCATTAATTGTTCAAAATCTTATCATATTTTAATTGACTTTATCTTACTGTTTCTTTTATGTATTTTGTATCTCAATATTTTCTGTAATATTTTCCTTCCTAAAATACTTAGACTATTTTGCAAACAAAAGAAGTGCATTTCTTCACTATATTGTTAATATATCCAGCCTCTTGATTGTATATTTAGTATTGGGAACCCACTTTCTTCCTGGCAATATTCTTTTAAGATTCTCCTCTGTTTGTGCAGAGCTGGGTTCTGAAATCTAATGTCATTGGCACGTAAAGGTTAGGTAACTCATTATTAGTTTTCCTACTTTTTATTTTTAGAATTCCTTTCTTCATTTAGCTCACATGTACCCTTAGGTAGTT